TATCAGAAGTTAATTTCTTTTCCTTGTATTTTTTGAATATTTGTATATCTTGAAAGAATCAAACGGTTTTTTGCATACTTAACGGATATCTAAACGCATCTTTCCACGAGGGTAGTCTGCGAATCAATTTCGTCCATTGTCTTTATACGACTTTATTGCGATGAGGGATATCGAAATATCCTAATCAAAATTTTCACCTGATCGAGTCAATTTATACAATGGGACATGATGTCCTGACATATCTTGTTTCTTTGGGACGACTTGAGACGGGCATGTCTCAACACCGCTTACCGATTCGCATTGAAGGAAAGAAAAGGGGAGAGAGAAAGGGAGAAAGCATCGACGGCTCGACTGGAAACGGCATTCTCCGCATGGAAACTGGTATCGATACATTGGACCATAATCGTTGTCAACGACATCGACGTTACTAAAGACCGAGCACTTAAAAGGAGCTGCAACGGAATCGGCGGCAGCGACGACGAGCGAACAAAAATGTTATTTCTGTCACTCGACACTTCCTAGCCGTAAGACACACAAAGAAAGAGAGAGGAAAAAAAAAGAAGAGGATTGAACAAATAAATAACGTGGATAACCTACATACAGATAATGTTTAACAGAGGAACAGTGAGGATAACAATAATGATGTTATTATTACTACTATTATTATTACTATTATTACTACTATTGCTACTAATTACCATTACTATTACGAACTACTGTGCAACACACCGAGTATATATATATACATATATACATAGTAGTTATGATCGATTAGGCGAATGTGTGCAAGCGGAGTTGTCGATTATTATGTAACCGCTTTAAGTAGCCTTATAAATTGTAATTAAAGCGCGGATAATCTACGTCTATACCGGGTGGCGCGAAAGAACGCGATCGTACTCCAATTTTTATTTTGAAAAGAATTTATTATCTAATTAATTCAATCTCAGAGAATCACTTATAACTTCTAATCCGCCATTAAATTATTTCTTTCCTTTGTATTCTTCTCATTGAAATTGACGATATTCGACGTCATTTATGAGAATCAATCCTACTATTTTTTATCTACCTACTAGAAGAAGAAAATCTCGTCCTGTTCCTCTCGTGTCACTCGGTATATACATCAGCGTATTGGATCACGAGCAGGTAGGCAAGAAACTAAAAAAAAATTCCTAAAAAGTAGCGAGATTCATCTTAGCGGATAAGCAGCGAGGGCGATCACGGAGTAGCGGATAATCTGTTGTCTGTTCGCAGGAGGAAGGGTTTAGCGATCGGACCCCCGTAATGTGAACATCCGGAAAACGTCGAATCTAAAAATTAATAGACGAAAACGACAGACGAAGACGAACCGAATATTCGAGAGATTCCCCAATCGCAAGATGAGTAAGCGAACAACGAATAGTCATTGTTCGTCACGCAAACGAATACTAAATATTTTTATTCGCATATAACAACGAACAATGAATAATCCGATTCGCTATTTCAATAACGGGATTATTTCTCATGTCTCATCCCTTAAGACGTCTTTTGGATGTTGCGAACGGGGACGAGCTATCTGTTCTTGCAATTTAGGAGCAAATGATTTATCTAAAGTTAGATGACAAGAGAGTCTCTAGAATAATCGTTAAAACTAATCTATTTCCCGTCTCGGACGTCGGCCGATCTAAACGTTCGATTGTTATTGTTGGAGGTGTGGTTTTCGAGATAGCCGTCGGCGGTTGCGGCAGCGGGATTAATCGTTGACGGTTCGCATCGACTTAGCGTAATTAACGTAGGATCGATATCCACCCTTCTCGACGACGATTAATTTTGCTCCGATCGCAAAATCGCGCGAATCACGCGCGATTAGGCGCCTCGGTGGGGAAGATTACGTCAGGTATGCGTCGCTGGATTACATCACGAGACTTTAAGTCGTTCAAATTCAACTCATTAGCCGCGATCGAGGATCTATTTAACGCCGATACGTCTTGCTTAAGCCTCCTCTATATATTTTTATAAACTAAGGGTAGCACCAGATCGATCACTATCACCCGCGGACCGTCGGAACTATTATTCCCCCGATTATCCTTAAAACTAACTACGAATTAAAGTTACTAAATTCACCGTAGCTTTATTTGAAAGTTTATTTGAAATTTTTCCCAACGAGCGCGATACGTTATAGTCCATTGTAGCTGCATCCGAGAGTTTAATCTGTATACAGAAGATGATTCCTTAATTATCATTTATAATTAATCCGAGATGAGAGAGAGAGCTCGTTTTACGCGAGAGATATTTTGACAAATGCCAATAAATATGGATTACCCGAAATTGGCTGGTAATTGCCGGAGCATTTTTCCTTTTCGAAATGAGCTTTCGTATTTCGAACGCCTCGAATATCATCTCGCTTCAAAATTCTGAATTTTTGTTACTGAAAAAAGAAAATTATACAGACGCGCGCTGACAGGACGCACACAGAACCTCTCGGATTTTCTCACACGTAACGATTTATAAGTGATTTCTTAATATATTTTACTATATCGCGAAAAGGGAAAGCTCGATAATAACTCTTCAATCGTTGCGAGTTCTATCAGCTTCTGCCGGCAATAAGATCGTGAGAAGATATCGTTGTCGGATCACTCGGCCTTCAACTCACAATCTTTCAACCTATGATAAGAGACATTTTACAATAAATGTGTTTGCGTTCATTGCCGAACATTTGCGTTAGTTTTATCGATTCGATAAAAAAGTGTTGCTGCAATCATTACTTATATAATTTAACATAAATGAAACGACATCAATTTGATCATGACGATATCGAAAAGAGAATACCATAAAATGACATGAACGCGTATTACATGATGTAAAATTACAATTAATACTAATTGTTAAGCCGAGTGATTTGCGCGATAATTATTAGAGTTATATATAATTATATATACATACATAAACATGTATACATATATCCGATGTGTATATATGTATATGTA